GTTGGAGAGCAGAAAGGAATTTGAGCTTTTTTTCAAAGGGTATTCTACTTTTTTTTTTTTTTTTGCCAGTCCTGGGGCTTGAACTCAGGGCCGAGTCACTGTCCCTGAGCTTCTTTTTCTCAAGGCTAGCATTCTACCATTTGATCCACACAATGCCACTTCTGGCTTTTTCTGGGTATGTGTAAGGAGGACTCGAACATAGGGCTTCGTGCATGCTAAGCAAGCACTCTAACACTAAGCCACATTCCCTGCCCTAAGGTATTCTACTTTTAATTATAAAATCTTATAGTTGGGGAAGTAAATCTTTCAGCAATAAAGACTGTTGAACATTTTGAATTATGCTGTTTTTGGCTGAGTCATAATCAGAGAGCCACCTCTTGATTGTGTCAAGTGTGAACCCACTGGGCCCACTTAAAAATCAGTATCTGGGCATGGCTTGAGGGCTAGTGGGGAAAGGCATCTATCTAATAATTTCTTTTCATGGGAGAGAACAAGGCATTTCTTTTTTTGGTCCGGTCGAGGGGCCTGAACTCTGGGCCTGGGCACTGTCCCTCAGCTCTTCAGCTCAAGGCTAGTGCTCTACCACTTGAGCCACAGCACCACTTCCGGCTTTTTTCTTTTTGCTTATGTGGTGCTGAGGAATCGAACCCAGGGCCTCAGGCATGCAAGGCAAGTGCTCTACCACTGAGCCAACTTCCCAGCCCCAGGCATTTCTTTTTTTTAATAAGTTTTTTATTGTAAAAATACTGTACAGAGGGGTTACAGTTACATGAACGAGATAATGAGCACATTTCTTATCAAGTATTGTTACCTCCTCCTTTGTTTTTTTTCCCTACCATCCCTTCCCTCCCACCTCCTCAACTACACTCCCCTCCCCACCTAAATTGTAAAGTTTGTTTTTCGACATAGCGTCTTGTAATCTTATTGTTGCAATGGGTCAACCTGTATCCCTATTTAAACAATTTGTTTTTTTCCCTTCCCCTCCCCAAATTATACCCACTTCAAATATGGTGAAGACAGGGGTCATACTGTGGGGGAGGGACATACAAAGCAACAAAGAAATCACATGGTACCCGTATAAATACGTTAGAAACAATAGCAAGAAAGAAAAAAACCACTTGTGTCCCTATCTTGGGGTTCATTTCGATTAACATCATCTTACCTGACCTTTTCTGCTTGTCCCAGACATATACTGGTTATTGCAAATAAGGGTAACCATGGGACCTATGTTTCTTTGGGCCTGGCTTACTTCCTTACTTCACTTAATATTATTTTTTCCAAGTCTTTCCATTTTCTAACATGAGGCGATGTCATTCTGATGGAGCCATAGAATTCCATTGTGTATGTGTGTGTGTGTGTGTGTGTGTGTGTGTGTGTGTGTGTGTGTGTGTCACATTTTCTTGATCCATTCATCTACTGAGGGGCATCTGGGTTGGTTCCATATCTTAGCTATGGTAAATAATGCTGCTATAAACAGTTGTGCTGGTAGCTTTAGTATGGTCTTGTTTGTGATCATTCGGGTAAATGCCCAAAAGTGGGATTGCTGGGTCATAGGGGAGCTCTATGTGGAGTCTTTTGAGGAACTTCCATATGGCTTTCCATAGTGGTTGAACAAGTTTACACTACCACCAACAATGCAATAGGGTTCCCTTCTGGCCACATTCCCTCCAGCATCTGTTGTTATTAGAAGAACAAGGCATTTCATGGGAAGAAGTTTTAGTGTTTTAGAACAAAGGTTGAGGGTGAAAAGAAGGGCTATGTCCTCTGGCCATGCCCAACCATAACCAGTTATATCCTGATGTTCAAAACCCTGATGTTCAGGGATGATAAAGAATCTAGAAGAGCATTTTCATGGAAATCTTTAAGATATTGAGAGGGCAGGGCTGGGAAGTGGCTCAGTGGTAGAGTGCTTGCCTTGCATGCAGGAAGCCTTGGGTTCAATTCCTTAGCACCACATAAGCAGAAAAAGCTGGAAGTGGCTCTGTGGCTCAGATGGTAGAGTGCTAGCTTTGAGCTAAAGAGCTGAGGGACAGCACCCAGGCCCAGAGTTCAGGCCCCACAACAACAACAAAAAAGATATTGAGAGGACAGACTTTAGTGTTGTGATATTTGTAGAACAGTTATGAAACAAAATGGTGTGTTGAGGATACTCACCTTCAGAATAGAACAGTGAATCCTGCAGTTGGGATAAGGAGATACTAAACTATGTGGTGTTCTGTCTCTGGCTTCTCTTCTGCTTCTCAGAGTCTAGATTGGCTTGTTCAGTTTGAGACTTGTTTAAAAAGGACAGTGGGGAAAAAAGCAGCTGAAGAATTTCACAACGATGTCTGGCTGATTTATATTGGAAAGCAGACCAAGATCTGCTTTCTTTTTTTTTTTTTTTTGGTCGGTTGTGGGCCTGAACTCTGGGCCTGGGCACTGTTCCTCAGCTCTTCAGCTCAAGGTTAGCTCTCTACCACTTGAGCCACAGTGCCACTTCCGGCTTTTTCTGCTTATGTGGTGCTGAAGAATCGAACCCAGGGCCTCATGCATGCAAGGCAAACACTCTACCCCTGAGCCCTTCCCAGCCCAAGATCTGCTTTCTGTAAGAGAGGATTTATGGGATAAAGAACCAAATGAGCAGAGCTTTGAAATTGTGCATTGAAAGTAGTAACAGCTATACAGAGGGTTGGAGACAAGGCGGGGTTATACAAAAAAAATAAAACAAATCCCAAATCCAAGCAAAAGAAATCAGGATTGAAAGGGGCTTCTATGGAGTTTGAATGAGATCTCTTTATTTTCTGAGAGGGTTTCAGCATACTCAGATTTTAAATGACTTTTAACTTTTTTTTTTTTTTTTTTGAGGTTAAAGTTGTTTCTTATATGTGATGCCATTCCAGCCCTGGACTCATGGAGGCTGAGCATTTATTCAGGTAATGATAGGTTACATTATAGAGCACTTTTTGTGTGCCAAGCAACAAATTCAGTGCGCTATCTACATTATCATATAATCTTCACACAATTGCATGTGTTTTTGGTATTACCCTGTTCATTTAGTAGATGAAGAAATTGAGATTTAGGAACTATAACAAGATTCAGTTTATGGTAACACTTGCCTAGCAAGCAAGAGACCCTCCCTTGGTTTAATACCTAGCACCCCTCTTTCCCCCCCCAAAAAAAGAAATTGAGTTCAAGTTCAGCTGAATTAAAAATAAAGCTTATTGTGTTGATGTTAGTAGTGAGAGATGCTAGTAGCTTGGCCATAAGTATGAATGAAAAGTAGGTGCGTGCGTGCGCTGAATGCAGGGTCTGGACTTGTTTAGCTTGTTGCTTGCTTGGCTGGTACTCTACCATTTGGGCTTCAGCTTGGTCTTTAAAAAATTGTTTTTATATTGTTTAACTTGGTCTTTTCCTAATTATTTTGGAAATGGAGTCTCCAGACTGGCTTTGAACCATGATCATTTGAATCTAAGCCTCCTGAGTAGCTAAGATTAATGAGCTACTGGTGCCTGGCTGTCAAGTGGTTTTAACTGACCAAACTTGGCCACAGATTTCAAAACTTTTTCCCAGTACTGAATGCAGCATACTTTTTTTTTTTTTTTTTGGTAGCTTGAGACAGTGTTTCATTACATAGCCTAAACTGGCCTGGAGATAAAATTTCTCCAGTTTAGGCCTCAGTATAATCTTTTTTTTGGGGGGGTCCGGTTGTGGGGCCTGAAATCTGGGCCTGGGCGCTGACCCTCAGTTCTTCAGCTCAAGGCTAGTGCTCTACCACTTGAATCACAGCGCCACTTCTGGCTTTTTTTCTTTTTGCTTATGTAGTGCTGAGGAATCGAACCCAGGGCCTCAGGCGTGCAAGGCAAGTGCTCTACCACTGAGCCACCTTCCTAGCCCTCTTAGTATATTCTTTGGTAAGGAAAAATCAATTATTTTTCTTTCATTGATGGTTCTTTTGAAGTCAACTGTTAAAAATCTATTGCCCAGATCCAAGTCTATTAAGATTTATTCCTATGTTTTTTCCTAAGATAATTAAAAAATATTATATTACATGTATATTATACATATGTATATATAATATTTTTAGATCATTGGTCTGTTTTCAAATTTTGTACATGGAATGATATGTATGGGGGGGGGGTCTAATAATCTTTTGCATGTGGTTATCCATAGACACCATACCATGTGCCCTAATTTTTAGGATCTCTTATTTTTTTATTTTTATTTATTTTATTTTATTTTATTTTTTTTTTGTCGGTCGTGGGGCTTGAACTCTGGGCCTGGGCACTGTCCCTCAGCTCTTCAGCTCAAGACTAGCGCTCTACCACTTGAGCCACAGCGCCACTTCTGGCTTTTTTCTTTTTGCTTATGTGGTGCTGAGGAATCGAACCCAGGGCCTCATGCATGCAAGGCAAGCGCTCTACCACTGAGCCACCTTCCCAGCCCCTATTTTTTTATTTTTTATTTTTTTGCCTTAGGGCAGCTTCCCACTATGACCTTTCTACTTGTGTCTCCCACATAGTTGAGATGATTAGCAGTTATTGTAATGCAAAGGCCAGCACTCTACTGCTTGAGCCACAGTACCACTTCCGGTTTTCGAATGGTTTATTGGAGATAAGAGTCTCACTGACTTTCCTGTCCTGGCCGCCATCCTCAGATCTCAGCCTCCTGAGTAGATAGGATTACAGATGTGAGCCACAGGCAACGGCTCATGTTTTTTTTCTTTTTTTGCCAGTCCTGGTGCTTGTCTCTGGTCCTGTACTGTCCCTGAGCTGCTTTTGCTCAAGGCTAGCATTCTACCACTTGAGCCACAGCGCCACTTCTGGCTTTTTCTGTGGATGTGGTACTGAGGAATTGAACCTAGGGCCTCATGCATGCTAGTCAAGCACTCTACCACTAAGCCACATTCCCAGCCTTCATGAGTTTATTTTATTTTGTAAAGATACTGTACAGAACAGTTACAGTTACATGAGTAAGGTAATGAGTACATTCCCTATTGAGCTTTGTTACCTTCTCCTTTGTTTTAAAAACCATGGTTAGATGCCATGAAGTAGGTGGCAATACCTTAACCATAACCATATGCATGTTGTCAGGCCCTAGGACCTTTCCATCTTTGTCGAGGGGAGAGCTAATCTTCTCTCCTTTCATACAATACCATGTTGCTTTTTTCTGTGACTTTTTAACCTATGTTGAGTATAGTTAAAACTTTTTAAATGCCTTTCTTTACTAATTCTGTTTCTCATTTGTTTATTTTGGTGCTTAGATTGAATTCAATGCTTTTGTGCATTCTTTTTTTTTTCCGTCATGGGACTTGAACTCTGGGCCTGGGCACTGTCCCTCAGCTCTTCAGCTCAAGGCAAGTGCTCTATCACTTGAGCCACAGTACCACTTCCAGTTTTCTGGTAGTTGATTGGACATAAGTCTCAATAGACTTTTCCTGCCCAGGCTGGCTTTGAACTATGATCTTCACATCTCAGCTTCCTGAGTAGCTAGGATTACAGGTGTGAGCCCCCAGCGCCCGGCTGCTTAATACATCCTAATTACACTTAACTACTGAGCTATAGTCCCAACCCTCTCAGTCATTTATTTTATCCTTTTATTGTGAAATAGGTATAGATCTATAGGAAGTTGGCAAAAAAATAACTGCAATATCCTATGAACCTTTCACCCAGTTTGTCCCAATGAAAACATTACACAACTGCAGTATAGTATTAAAACTGGGAAATTAACATTTGATCCATTTTTTAATCTGTACTTCATATGTGTGCACATGCACATGTGTGTTTGTGTGTAGTTGTATAAGATTTCATCCTGAGTAAATTTTGTATTCACCATTAAGATATAGACATTCCATTTGTCAGGATCTTTCATGTTGACCTTTAATAACTACACCTAATTCTTCTACCTTATCACCCCAAACTATATCCCAGTACTTGGAAAATCCTTAATGTCTTCACATACTATTGTTATTTTAAGAACTTTACATAAATGGAATAAAAAATATGTACAACTAATTTTATTGTGGAAATTGACTTTTTAGGAGAGCAGTGCTGGAATTGGAATTCAGGGCAATGCAGTTGCTTGATAGCCTATCTACCACTTGAGCCACACCCCCACCTTTTTTTTAAAACCTCATTAGTTTCCTGTCTCTCAGGAAACATTATCCCTGATTACCTGAGGCAGAATGACTAAAAACTGTATACACAGTTTGTGTGAGTGTTTTTACATGTTCTTATTAGGATGAGAATCTACCTGGATGCCTATTACTTCATGTTAACTAGAGTAGAATCCTTCCCACAAACACATAGTTTTCATTAACATTAGGTTAAACCGTATGTTACTGAATAATTCTTTCTTTTCTCAAAAAGGCCAAATAGATGTAAGAGAAACCAGATGCTGGTAGCTCATTATGTAATCCTAATTACTCAGGAGGCTGAGGTTTGAGGATCATGATTGGAAGCCAACTCAAGCAGAAAAGTTCCAAGACTTTCTTTTCTTTCTTTCTTTTTTTTCTTTTTTTTGCCAGTCCTGGGGCTTGAACTCAAGGCCTGCGCACTGTCCCTGAGCTTCTTTGGTTCAAGGTTAGCCTTCTACCACTTGAGCCACAGCTCCACTTCTGGCTTTTTCTGTATATATGGTACTGAGGAATCAAACCCAGGGCTTCATGCATGGTAGGCAAACACTCTACCACTAAGCCAAATGAATACCCAGCTTCCCTATTTCTCTCTCTCCTGTTAACCAGCAAAAAGCTGGAAGTGGCTAGATGCCAGTGGCTTACACTTGTAATCCTAGCTACTCAGGAGGCTAATATCTGAGGATTGTGGTTTGAAGCCAGTATGGGCAGGAAAGTCTGTGAGGCTCTTATTTCCAATTAACGACCAGAAAACCAGAAGTAGCACTTCGACTCAAAGCGGTAGAGTGCTATGAGTGAAAGAGCTCAGGGATAGCACCCAGGTTCTGAATTTAAGCCCCACTACCAATTAAAAAAAAAAAAAGGTGGAGCTGGGAATGTGGCTCAGTGGTAGAGTGCTTACCTAGCATGCATGAAGCCCTGGGTTAGATTCCTCAGTACCATAGACACAGAAAAAGCCGGAAGTGGTGCTGTGGCTTAAGTGGTAGAGTGCTAACTTTGAGCAAGAGAAGCTCAAGGACAGTGCCCAAACTCTGAGTTAAAGCCCTAGTAACCAGCACTATCCCCCTCCACCCCCCAAAAAAAGAGGTAAGACATAAAGATACTTTGGGTATTCATTGCCATTTGAAGCCCAGTTACTTCTGGAAGTTTGCTGATCAATTTATAGTTAGAATAGGTCTGCTATCGTAGCATAAGATGATGATGTGAAAGATTTTTTTTATGACAACTCGTACATGATAATATAGTCTTATTCAGGGTTGTCTTCAGGTATACTGTTAAATTCTGAATTTCATTTGCATTCTTTTTTTTTTTTTTTTTTTGGGTCCAGTTGTGGAGCCTGAACTCTGGGCCTGGGCGCTGTCCCTCAGCTCTTCAGCTCAAGGCTAGTGCTTTACCACTTGACCACAGCACCACTTCCAGCTTTTTTTTTTTTTTGCTTATGTGGTGCTAAGGAATCGAACCCAGGGCCTCATGCATGCAGGGCAAGCACTCTACCACTGAGCCACCTTCCCAACCCCAAATATGACTATTCTTTTGAAGAAAAATAACAGATGAGAATGCAGAAAAGCAGGGCTGGGAAGGTGGCTCAGTGGTAGAGTGCTTGCCTTGCATGCATGAGGCCCAGGTTCGATTCCTCAGCACCACATAAGCAAAAAGAAAAAAAAGCCGGAAGTGATGCTGTGGCTCAAGTGGTAGAGCGCTAACCTTAAGCTGAAGAACTGAGGGACAGCACCCAGGCCCAGAGTTCAGGCCCCACGACTGGACCCCCCCCCAATAAAAAAAAGAATAGTCATATTTATAAAAATGACAGTTTCTGCATTTGAAAGGGTAGAGGTGTATCTAGTTAGGAAATTCTCTCTCTGTCCTTGAGCTTAAACTCAGGCACTGTATCTGAGTTTTTGTGCTCAAGGCTGGTGCTCTACAACTTGAACCACAGCTCCACTTCTGGCTTTTTTTGGTGATTAATTGGAAATAAGAGTCTCAGAGACTTTCCTGCCTGGGCTAGCTTTGAACTGGGGATCTTAGCCTCCTGAGTAGCTAGGATTACAGGTATGAGCCACTAGCACCCTGGGGAATTCTCTTTTAATCCTTATTGTTTAGAGCTTATAACAGTTTCATGATGTAAACATTTTAGTGCTTCATGATGTTACCATAGGACCACCTACAGTGTGTAAACAAATCCTTCTTTGGAGTTATTTTCTGCAATTAGGCCACATTTTAGTAACTGAGTGACTTTGGGCTCTGGGAATCTTCTGCTAGAGCTTCTTATTGTTTTGATTTTATCAGTAAAGTGTTTTTTTTTTGTTGTTGTTGTTGTTGTTGTTTTTTGACAGTTTTTTTTTGTTGTTGTTGGTTGTGGGGCTTGAATTCTGGGCCTAGGCGCTGTCCCTGTGCTCTTCAGCTCAAGGCGAGGGCTCGACCGCTTGAGCCACAGTGCCAATTTGGGTTTTCTGGTGGTTTTATTGGAGAAAAGAGTCTCATGGACTTTCCTGCCCCGGCTGGCTTTGAACTATGATCCTCAGATCTTAGCCTCCTGAGTAGCTAGGATTACAGGCATGAGCCACCAGTGCTCAGCTTTGCTGTTGTTTTTTCAAGTAATTTTAGTCTTTTGCTACTGCTATGTACCCAGGATATATTAGCTTTTTTGACAGTTCCTGTTGTGAGTGGGTACTCAGTGATTATTCATTGGATGAATGAATGCCTCTTTTTGTTGTTGTTGTTGGTTGTGGGGCCTGAACTCTGGGCCTGGGTGCTGTCCCCTCTGCTCTTCAGCTCAAGGCTAGTAGTGTTCTACTGCTTGAGCCACAGCGCCACTTCCTGCTTTTACTGCTTATGTGGTGCTGAGGAATCGACCCCAGGGCCTCATGCATGCAAAGCAAGCACTCTACCACTGAGCCACCTTCCCAGCCCTGAATGGCTCTTCTTTAAGTCAACTGGTTCCTTGTATTTTGTTGAGGATCTTGTTTCTCTGTCCATCTCTATTTTGGTCTTTTTCTTGCTTTCATTTCCTCTGGAAGGCAAATGAAAAAGGCAAAGGAGATGAACCTGAGATCAATTTATTGTTTATGAGTAATTCTGATAAGAAGCAAGTATTATATAGGAAGTTTGAAACACTTTGGTAAAATGAGATTTTGGAGTTAATGCTGAATTATATTTTTCCATTCTATTTCTGCTTGGTATTACTAGTGGTAGATTGGGTTTTTGCTTCTCTTCAAAGCCTGACCTACTTTTTCTCTCTTTAACTTAAAGTTACTGATGCCCTGTTTTTTTTTTTTTTAATTTTTTGTTTTAACTTCTCGTTTCTGTGGGAGCCTCTTCCTTTTCTCCTAAATATTCACGTGTCATTTGCTTTTCTTTTAACCTGTTTTGCTCTGCCACTGTTCTCATCGTGAATTCTGTCTTTGTGGCTTAAAATCAAGGTTTCAGCTACTCTTAGGGTAAAAAATATTAAAGCAGTGTGGTGACCCTAAAATACCAGAAAAGGATGCTGTTTTAAGGCCTGGGCTATATAATGAGACACTGTCACAAAACACAAAACCAGGAGCTGGGAAGGTGACTCAGTGATAGAATGTTTGCCTTGCATGCATGAGGCCCTGGGTTCGATTCTTCAGCACCACATAAGTAGAAAAAGCCAGAAGTGGTGCTGTGGCTCAAGTGTAGAGCACTAACCTTGAGCTGAAGAGCTGAGGGACAGCACCCAGGCCCAGAGTTTAGGCCCATGACCACCACCACTAACAACCCCCCAAACAAACACACAAACCCGATAAACACCCCAACAAGGCTAGGGTCATGGCTCACCTGCCTAGTGAGTTTGAGACCACTTGTTCAAAACTCAAGTATTGCTAAACAACAATGAATTTTCATGTGGGTATATAAATATTATAAATATAGAAATTAAAATTCAGGTGGATAAAAATGAATTGCATTCTCAGGGTAAGCCTAGGTAAAGGTAGCAAGACTGTGTCTCAAAAGCACATTTAAAAAACCAAAAATACTAAGGGTGTGGCTCAGGTAGTAGATTG